TTAGTGGGACTTGCGCAGCAACATCAATTTCGTTTTAAAGCAACTCTCAAATGATGAAGCGGATGGCATTCTTGTCAGTTGTTGGTATGTAATATCGTTTTTGGATAACTTACAAGTGTCTCGACTTCTCACAAAGAGTAGATATGGAAGGAATATAACTTGTAAGATGCAACTGATAACTCAAATTTGACAAAGTACATTTTGTATAACTGTAAAAAATAATGTGTGAAATTGAAAATGCTTGAAGAGTTCACTTTGGAAAAGTTTTAATCCGTTAATATTGTCGGAAAATAAAACTTTAATTGTTATTTACAGCAAAAATGCAAGCAAAATTAAAAAGAACGCCTGTGGAATGATAATAGGCAGCTGGCTTCCAGAAATGATTACCAGCAAATATCCATGAGATGTATTTATGCGCAAAACATTCGCATCCGGCACTCGAACAAGCAGTGAAAATTGATTTATCTGAAAATGCAGTCTTGCGTTGTGAAATCGCGCTTTTTCAGCCAAATTTTCTCGAAAAAAAAACTTATTTTACAATGATAATGATAATAGCGGCGATTGCAACGATAATCTTAATAATGATACTAACAAAATTAGCGATAATAATAGTACTGATAATGATGAAATGAATGATTATATTAGTGACAGTAGCAATAGCGATAATTTTACTAATTACAATTATAAGGCCATAGTTGAAATTATATTATTATGGTAGCTATAATCATTAAATATTATTAAACTAAGAAATAAATGATTTCATCAATGAACAGAAACAGTGATAGAACTATTTCTTACAATAGCGATAAGAGCAGCGATGCACCCAAACTGCATAAAAAGTAGCGATTCCTCAGACTTATGTTTTTCTCCGATAAAAATTTTTTTTCTAAAATTGTGCTTTTCAGCTCAATTTCTCACTTTCAAACCGATTATTCTGACATTTTTTTGATGCTTTATGCCAGCTTGTTTATGATAAATTTTCCTTATTTGGATGCACCACTGCTTGAGGATTATATTGGAATGGAAAATCAACGAACTCATTGTCTGGTTTATCGGAAGTTTTCTCCGAAATCTTGATTTCGTGCTGGCCAATAACTTTTGGCCCAATCGGAATAGAATCCACTTCGAGCTTCAGCTTTTCTAAACTACCAGCTGGTTGTAAATCTCCGGTTTTGTTGACGGTCATCAGCGAGTCCTGAGCAATGGGAGCCGGGAATCCTACTTGATTTCGTTTGAGGTCCGGCGATGCCCGTGGAAACGGTGATGATTGATGGGCTGCAAAAAAAACAGGGTGAGAAAAAATTTGGTGGCTCAGCGTCAACTTCTGTTTAAGAGTAGCCTCTGTTTCATCTTTTAGCTGTAAAGGGAAGCAGGCAGGTTTGAGTAGGAATTATCAGTACAGCCTCCACATATATGGCAAGCATGTTTTTAATCATTCAAAATTAGAGCTCAACGAGAGCACTAGAAGAAAAAGAAAAAAAGATGCGAATTAGCGAAAGAAGATATGAGGAAAAAAATTTATTTTTAAGGGAAGGTAAGTGCTAACAGATGTAGGCAATTGAGTTTGGAACAATAGTCGACAGCATAGCGAAGAAAGTTAGTGCTAGTAACGCGTCTGCGGAAATATTAAACTAACATTCTATATATACAAACGCAAAAACGCATATGCATATATTCATGTAGGAAGCTTTAACGATGATCCTTACTGCTCTGTCTGTGTTTACAGCTAAAGGATGAAACAGAGACAACTCTCGAATACAGAAGAGACACAGGCGCATCTGCGCTTCCAAATTAAGAAGTTCCAAGAAAGACGAGTATGAAGGTGATGCTGCGCAAATACTTCTGGGTTGAGAGCATTTAAATCCTCGAGGAGAGCAAGCCCCCTCCACCTCCCCTCTCTCTGCCACTTTCCCCTTCCCCCAGTGTTACTACAAATCTTCTATCAACAGTTCCTACATAAAATCAAGTTTAAACAGAATGAAATACAAACACAGTGCATACCTGTACCGGGCGATGGCTTCTTCTCTGACTGACCTTCAGCAGTGCCTGAAATTTCTTTCAAGTCGTCGAGATCATCAAAAATGTAAACTCCATCAGTGTGAAACTTCTGATTTATACAGAACAGTTGATAGATTATAAATATCCGAAGCCTAGATTTTCCAACCTCTTCTACAGAAGAAAGGCGAGTGGCCCAGAGAATCCTGGACTTATTATTCTTGATACTTAAGTCCATCCAGTTGATAGGCAGAAAAATCAAAGCCTCCTCCATATTCGCTGTCTGTAAAAGGCGGGGATACTCAAAAATAGCATGGTGTATACAAGAATGTTGTGTGGTACTCTCTTTTGAGGGTTGTTTGGGAGCAAGCTGATGGCGAGTTTAATTTCCGAACATGCTTCAGTACCAATTTACCACTGATGCGAATGAAAGAATCGTAGAGAGATTTGTTTTTCCAGTAGCGGAATGGAGCGTTCGTCCTTCAGCATAACACCATACTCACCATTATGTTGTGCCCGCCAGCTTTGTCATTCCGGTCCTCTTTTTAAAGTTTTACTTTCAGTACAAGTGATATCAATTTATCGCCACGGTCACAATCAAATGTAAGATGGCGAGCCTGTTGATAAGTGAGCCCAGATTGTTGATTGAACAACTCCTCCTTCCGTAATGTCCTTGATCCTCAGAGAGTGACTCCTCTCGCTAACATTTAACTACACTCAAAGTGCGGTCAGATTGAACTGTCCCATACTAAGCCACTTGATTCCGCTTTCTACTAAGACAGCTTCTCATGCATGTTCTTAAAAAAAAAA